AGCTCGGACGACAACATCATCGATACAGTTGGCCCACAGGGCGCCATCGTCGTCGGCGAACCCAAGGATGGCTGGTTGAAGCTTCTCAACCGGCCAGGGTACATCAAAATCAAGTCGGGCGACGAGGTGCTCCTCAAGCACAGGAAGGTCACCTACATGATCATCCCACACGGCTCATGTAATCAATTTGGGGGTCCAGAACATTTTCTTGATATTGTTGATGTCGAACAAGGAATGCGGAACATCACGGACAACTATTCGTGCCTGGCGGCTGGAGAAAGCATGGGCCTGAACGAGGCTGCAGTCCTGACGCCAGCACTGGTCTGCACAGTGAAGGGCGACGGCGGGACGAACCAGACGATCTGTTCCTCAGGCATGTACCCGTCGTACGAGGACGACCCCGCTGACTCTGAGCTCCTACTAGAGCCCACCCCTGCGCCGCCGGCGACCACCCCGCCCAGCAGCACGACCACATCACCGAACACGACCGCAGGACAGGAGGCCGCGGCGACCACTACCACCGAGCAGGTCGAGTGCGACGGGTGCTGCCCTGGGGATCGCGACAAGCCCACCGTTGTAATCCCCGCTTACGAGCGAGACATCTGCAAGCTAAAGGTTACTGCAAGATCAATCGCTGAGCATGACAAGGAGAAGCACTTGGGCAAAGTGATCATCTGCTGGGTATCGCATCACCCTGCGTGGGAGTACGGCGGCGATATGGATGAGATCAAGGCGATCTTGTCGGAGCACGGGGAGGTCGAAGTTTTGGAGATGGTGATCGGGGACGGGGAGCATGGCTGGGTGGCACAGCAGGCGGCGAAGCTGAAGGTGGCTAGTCGCGTTTCGTCCGCATATTACGTCGTGCTCGATGCCAAGAACGCTCTCCTCCAAGACGTCAAGCCTGACACATTTTTCACTTCGTGCAACACGGGCAAGATATTCGGCAGGTACAAGATGCAGGACGGCTCCATGCCCGGAATGCATTTGGATTGGTACCGTAAGTCTGCTGAGGTGCTGGGCCAGACGCCGATGGACTACGGCAGCTGGCCCGCGTCGATCACCCCCATCATCATGCACAGGCAAACCGTCATAGACATGCTGGGCCAGCTTGGAGAGTCTCCGGACTTTGGCCAGTGCTCTGGCGGTTTGTGCAGCGCCTTCGAGCGCGGTGCGACGGAGTTCACGCTCTACCTGGTCTACGTGGGCCGGGTGGGGAAGATGGAGTGCATACACGGCATCGAGGAGCGGCCCTGGGGCAAAGAGGTCGCCGCATCCGTTTGGCGCACCGACGACGAGGCGGGCAAGCAGTCCACCGCTGGCCAGATCAAGGCCATCGCGGAGCATTCCGAGGCGAATGGCCAGGTTTTGTTCTTCGGAGCGCAGGCGGGAGCCCTCGACAATTTCGCGGGCGACGAGCGCTACAAAGTGCTGCAGGACCTTTTCAAGGTCTACGACGACGCTGGCTTGTACCAGTTCAACGACTGGGATGAGCTTGCGAACTGCGTTGTAGGTGCAGGGATGGGACGGCTGTAGCATCCTGTGCGGGCAGCAGGCAAACAGGGATTTTTCCGGGTCGGTGCAGAAGTTGCCGCCTTACCCGCTCTATTCGCCTGCTGCAGGTAACCTCGTAGTTAGTCTCTGTGGTGAGGTATGGTGGTGCCTGCGCTGGCCTTGCTTTCAGTAAGCAGCGCACGATGCAGCGCGATTCCCCTGCCTCCAGTTTCACCGCCGCCAGTGGATCGCGGGCGGAAGCCATATCCTTGTCCACGGCCTCGCGGACCAGGCCCCTGGGCCGCGACCCCGTGGATGCTGGGCGTTTCTGCGCGGATGCCTCGCGCGGCACAGGAGGCGTAGTGCGGAGTTCTTTTCTCCCCCTCCTCTCTCTCTTTCTCTCTTTCTCCCTCTTTCCCAGGGACTCTTGCCCAACACTGTGAAGCTCGACTGAGAGTGCAAGCCCGTCGCCACAGGGCGTGCAGGCGCTTTGGAGGCTTAGCACTTACTTGCGTATTTGACTTCTGAAAATGTGGCCTCGCACTGATCTCTTGCCAGGACTGTTCAAGCCTTGCAGTGTGTCCCCGACGCACGGCCTTTGGCACAGGCAAAGGAGCCGCAGGGATTGTGGCTCTGGTAGTGTCCGAGGCTTTGGGAACTCAGCGGGCCCTCCCGAGATCCTTTGGGGTGTTTTTTGTTTAAAACATCTTCGTCCCATGGCAGCTTGACTGTTCTTGAGCTTGCAGTGCCGCGCATCCTTGCCGGCCACGGCCCGCCTGCGCGCACGACCAGCTTTTTGGGCGAGCGGTCTCCCGGCAAGCGGGCTCGCGCCCGCTCGGAGGCTGCGAGAGCGGAGGCCACGAGGGGGTATCCAGGCCTCCCAGCTGGGGTCGGAGGATCGCGCCGCATCACTGGTGCATCGCCGATGCATCGGCGATGCGGCTCGTTGTGGGGCCCGATTTTCGCCACGCCGACGTCGCCGATGCGTCGCCGGCGTCGCCGAGGCATCGCCGAGGCATCGGCGATGCATCGGCGATCCAGTGCAATCTTCCGAGGCCGAGAGCGAAGGCCGCGAGAGTTCCTGAGGCCCCCGAGAGGCGTCAGGCCCAGCCAGCCTCGACGCGCTCCCTCGAAGCGCCAGCATTGGCATCCCAAACATGATGGAACTGCGCCGACCTGCTTGTGCCCAGGCTCGTTGATATGTGATCCTGGGTCGATTGTCCACAGTCCCCCCCAGATGTGATGGGCCCCAGGGTTCCACAAGACCCCCCCAGAGGGGAGGGGAGGAGGAGGAGGAGGAGGAGGAGGAGGAGGAGGAGGAGGAGGAGGAGGACGACGACGACGACAAACCACCTCACACCCACAGAGGGAGGCGGGCGGGCACCGGCACCCCACTCCACTTCGTCACGCCCATAGGGCCACGACCACAAAGGGGGGGGGGGAGCGATCCCATTCGCGAGGCCCTGCGACCTTGGTCTCTGAAAGCTCCCGGCGAAAGCAGCGGAACGTCCACCCTCCACTACGCGACGCGGGGGGGGGATCGATCCCATTCGCGAGGACTTCGCGAGGCTCACGGGCGTACCTATCCAGCGGGGGGGGGGCGGGATCGATCCCACAAGCATTGGGGAGGGGCGGTAACCTTGGGTCATTATGTGCATATATATATATATATATATATATATATATATGTATTTATATACACATATATATATATGAGCGCTGGCCAAAGTCTCCATCGATTGAGAGCACACAGGGGATGCCGTGGTCGGCGTTCGGGGGGGAGCGCGCTGATTTACCTGTGGCCCCCGAGGGGCCCAGGACTCTCGCGCTCCCCGCTCCCACCTGTGCGAACAGCGCCGACGTCGAGAGCGTCTGCCCGCGCACTCGTAGGCAACATCTGTGCGCATGTTTCAATACCTCCAAGTTTCGCCTCCAGGGTTATGATGTTCTGACTTACTTTAGCTTTGGCCACCAGAGAGAGTTTGGAGCACAAAGAAAGTACGAAACCTGAGGGTTTTCACGTGTCGGGTCCTGGGAGGCGAAACTCGTTGGACACTGCTTCGGTATTTTTCTAGGTGCTCGAAATTACTTCTGGGATGTGGTCCTTAAGTGCGATGGTAGCGACGTAACTCCAGGAGGCCCCCAAGACGCCCCGGGAAGGCCCCCAGGCAGTCCAAGATGGCCCACGCTGCGCCCAAGGCAACCCCAGGTTGTTTCCGAGATCGCACGAGAGCGCCCACGATGACTCAGGATGGTTGCCAAGATGCTTCCAAGCGGCCTCGAGACCGCCCCAAGGCGGTTCCAAGTTGCTGCGGAGTTTCTCACGGAAGCAACACAAGTTGTTGCTTTCTCGTTTGTCCGCCTCCTCTGGGTCACTTCGGGAGCACGTTGACCCCAAGAGGAGTCTAATATTGCCCCAGGACCGCCCCCCGAACCCCCAAGAACCCCTAGTGCCAAAGGCTGGGCGTCGCTGGGCGCACGAAACCGGAGGAGACGCTGGGAATGGACGTCCGAGCGTTGGCTAGAAGTAGTGCCGTAGACACGTTAACGGCGATGTGGGTAACGGCGATGTAGGTGGGGGTGGTTCATGGCCAACCCAACTGTAGGAAAGCGCTGGTCGCGTTTTCCTGTAATATGTTCTGCGCGAGTTCGGCGTCGCAGAAAACAGATCCCCAACATCGCCGTTAACCAATATCGCCTTAAGCGTGGCTTTGGAAAGGGGTGACCGCTGGGAGGTCACCACCCCTTCGAAGAGATCGAGAATCGAGAACCGGGTGGGGCTAGGACAGGGATAAATTCGCTCCAGAGCTTTCCAGAACGCTCTCAGAGCGTTCCAGAACGCTCTAAGAAGGCCGCGGCGCCCGAGAGCCGCCGGATCTCAGAGATTCTCGATTGATCCTCCCCTCAATTTGCTCTCGTCCTTGCGTCGTCTTAACCGAGGAGGTTTGGGACTGTCTTTCCGCGTCTTTGGGGGTCCTGGGTGGCGCCTGGGGGGTCCAGAGGGGGGGGGCGTTCCTTCGGGGAGGCTGCGACCCCTCGATCAGAGGTGACCCTGCTCTTGGCGATGCCTGGCGCCCTCTCGCCGCCCCGGGCACCGCCGGCGTCGGAGACTCCTCTCGCGCGCGCGCTGCCTGTTGCACTCAAACGGTGTCCGAGGGCGGAGTGGCTGTCCAGGGGTTCCTTGGATCCCTGCCTCTCGTCACCGAGCGCGTTCCACTACTCGCAAAGTGCATACCCGCAAAAGTCCTAAAAACACAGGTTCGCCTCGATATCATGGATCGTGAGTCCCCGGCGGCGGATCCAGGCCATTTGCGAGTAATTATTTTGCGGCTAGTGGAACGCGCTTGTCTATCGCGGCCCATCCCAACCCTTGGCTGATGGTCATGGGGCTTCCACCTTCCGCTTCGATCTGGGCGTCCAAGGGCCTTGCATCCTCACCGCGCACCCTTCTGGTCCGGTCGCGCTGTGTGTCTCCTTCCAGCGGCCAGCCTTCGCGCCCGGTGGGCCAGGAAGAGTACGACGGCAAGCGCGAGCGCAGGAAGGCGTCCAGCGGCCCACCCGTCAGGGAGGTTCCCGTGCTGCTGGTGAGCGGCCCCCGGGGCTGCGGGAAGTCCACGCTGGTGAGGCAGCTGGCGGAAGGACCGTGCTGACCCGCTGGGAGCTGAAAATCTGGGGCGTTCCAGAGAGGGCCTCGCTTGCTCGAGAAATCGAGGAGTCGCCATCTCTTTTTTCGGTGGAAGTTGGTGCGAGGTAAACGGGGGTGCCGGCGGAGGTAACATGCCCCCCCCAAGAGACGTTTGACACGTTTTTTGGATTGGAATGTAGGGCTTCTGGAGCGAACCACTGTTTGATGAAGCCCTGGTCCACTCCGTTAGTCAATGATCTCCCACCATCACCCGATCAGCCACGACATGCCCAGACCTTCACCTTCCTGAAGACATCAAGGCGGATGGTTTGTCAGTTGATTTCTATTTCTGGCGGCAGTTTTCAGACTCCAGGTCCCCGACAGGAGTCAACCATACAAGCCGTCGCAGGTCTATTGCTCTGGGAGTCTGTGAGAGGTCCCTCGGAGCCATCTTGGGGTCTTCGTGAAGCAATTATGGGAGCCTTTGAAGCCCTATTGGGACTCCCTTGGGATCCCCTTCAGTGAGATTTAATCAGCACTTACTCCCCACTCGGAGACCGAAAAGGCGCTACTTCGCATTTTCGCTCCCGCTGGGCTTTTGCCCCAAATCACGAAAGAACAAGAGCCACCAAGGGGACGCGTTACAGGCGCTCAACAGGCCCAAAAAACGCTCCCCAAAAGCCCCCAAAAGCACCCAAAGCGTTTGAAATATTCCAGATCCTCGACCCACAGACCCCCGACGCCGTGCCTGTTTCACAGCCCGGATCCCCCTGAAGGTCTGGGCCGCTTCCCCGGTGCCGGCTTTTCACCCCAAGACTTTCCTGATTGGTCCAGGGCCCGCCCCCGGAGCGGAGAATTGGGGGTGGCGAGCTCGAGCGCGCTGCCCAGGAAATGAACATCAGCGTGGAGCATGCAGATCGTCAAAAAGTTGTTGCCGTCATTTGCTCACGACGCGGCGGGGTCTGGGATCTCCCTCCCGGCGGCCAGGAGATGCGCGTTTCATGGAGCCCGACTGGGTCACGACCGCCCCCGGCCTGGGCGGCGGGGCCACGGGCGACAGGCGGATACGCCAGGTCGTGGGCGAGGAGCGCGCTCGCGCGCTGTGCTCAGACCTCCGACAGACTCGCTGTGTGCTGTGTCCGAGGCGCGCCCCCAGACGTGGCTCGCGCCGCGAGCAGACACGACGGAAGGTTGTTGGCCGGTTTCGGCTTCTGGGAGCCCTCGCAAGGCCCCAGGACTGTTCTGGCACCCTTGCGGCAGAAGTTCCCGAGCAGCTTTCCGCGGGGGCCCTACATTCCACCTCCGCTGCTGCTACTACCACTACTGCTGCTACGAGTACGACCAACCACTGACGATACCAACATCACTAACTACTCAGATTAGTCGTTGTATACTTCTTGGTTGTAAGGCTACTCTATGGGCACTCTAAGATTTGCACGACCATTATGACTGATAGTACCAAGTCACATAGTACTCCAAAGACAAATATTCAGACGAATGTTGCTTTTAATCACGAGGAAGTGCTAGTGCTGATTTAGACTCATGCGTTAAAGTATTAGTTCGATCATTCAGATCAATGTTGATACGAATACAGATACGTACACCACTGCTATCCAAGACTCACCCGTATACTATTACTTCTAGAGCCATCAAGGATACGCACGATTACGAATGCGAGAATCATTTTCCATACGAGCGGTAATAGCAATACGGATCCTTCACGGGAGACCGCGGGAGGCCACGGGAGATCAAGGCGCCCGTCCGAATCCAGATCCGGCGATCCCCGTGCCCGGTTTCTTAGAGGCTCTCACAGACAAGTTGTTGAGGGGAGAAAACGCTTTGGGATAAAAACCGGCCGTGGGAAAGGGGTGGGAATTCTTGGGACCGCGTACTGAAAACATTATCTTGGCGAAGGGCCCCAAACATATGCAGTTGTGAGTACAGCACTTGTGAATATCGCTTTCTGTGGAGCTCCCCGTGGGGCCACGAAACGTGTGGGCGGTGAGCCGAATTAGGCCTGGGGACGCATGCGGGCCCAGCCACTGGGGCCTCCGGTGGAATTCCGATGAGTCCACGAAACATCTTTGGGGGGGGGGCGACATGGGCCTGGAGGAGCCCGCGGGCCCTGCCACAGGGGCCTTTGGTGTCACTTGGGGGCAGGAAACGTGTGAGGGGTGCACCAACATGGGCCTGGGGACGCATGCAGGCGCCGCCACTGGGGCTTTCGGTGGAGCTTCGAGAGAGCGCCCGAGCACCCCTGGACGTCGTCTGCCCGAAGCCCCCCCCCCTTTTCCGCCCCTCGGAAGCGACCCCCCCTTCCCCCTTTCGCACGCTGGAAGCTACCCCCGCTCCCCCTTTCCAAGGGGAAGGGGCTTAACTTCTCTCCTCCCTCCCTTTTGACCTCCTCTTCCGGAAGCCCCCCTCCCTTTCCCTCCTTTATCTGCCCCTCAGAAGCTAGCCCCCCTTCTTTCACGCTCCGCCAGCTGCCCCCCCCCCCCTCGCCCCTTTCCGAAAGGCAGGGGGGCTTAGCTACCCTCCCCCTCTCTGGACCCCCCCCACCGGAAAGGCCCCCTCCCGTTCCCCCATCTGTTTCACCCCGGACGCTACCCCCGTCCCCGGCCCCCTTCTCGCGCTCCGGAAGCAACCCCCCCTCTCCCCCCCCCCCCTTCCGACAGGGGATGGGTTGCTACCCCCCTCCATTTGACCCTCCCCTGCAGGAAGCTCCCGCCCCTATCGGCTAAAGGGGAGAGAGCTTGGAAGCCCTCTCCCCTTCCCCCTCAAAGAGGCCGAAAACCAAAGAGGCGCCAAAAACCGAAGTGGTGCCGAAAGCCGAAAGCGAGCCGAAAACCAAAAGGGCGCCGAAAATCAAAGGAGCCGAAAACCAAAAGAAGGATTAAAAAACAAAAGAGCGCCGACAACAAAAAGATCGCCGAACACCAAAGAGGCGCCGAAAACCAAAAGGGCGTCGAAAACCAACAGGGCGCCGAAAACCAAAAAGGGCGCCGAAAACTAAAGGGGCTCCGAAAATCAAAGAAGCGCCAAAAGCCAAAGAGGCACCGAAAAACAAAAAGGGCATCCAAGGCCAAAGGAGTGCCGAAAATCAAAGTGTCGCCGAACACCATAAGGGCGCCGAAAACCAGAGGGAGCCCGAAAACCAAAAGAACGCCAAAAACCAAAGAGCCGCCGAAAACCAAAGAGTCGCCGAACATCAAAAGGACGCCGAAAACCCAAAGAGGCTCCGAAAATCAAATGGGCGCCGAAAACCACAAGGTCGCCGAAATCCAGAGGGGCGCCGAATACCAGAAGGGCTCCGAAACCAACGATGCCACGAAAACCGAAAGGGCCGACGAAAACCAAAAGGGAGCCGAAAAACAAAGGAGAGCCAAACAACAAGAAGGGCGCCGAGAACTAAAGGAGCACGAAAACCACAAGGGCGCCGAAAACCAAGAGGGCACCGAAAACAAAAGGAGCGCCGAAAACCAAACGGCGCCGAACACGAAGAGGTCGACGAAAACCAAAAGGGCCCCAAAGACCAAATGGGCACCGAAAGCCAAAGGGGCTCCGACAACCAAAAGGGCGGGCGCCGAAAACCAAAGGGGCGCCGACAACCAAAAAGCGCCGACAACCAAAAGGGCGCCGAAAGCCAACTGGGCGCCGAAAACCGAAGGGGCGCCGACGACCAAAAGGGCGGGCTCCGAAAGCCAAAGGGGTGCCGACAACCAAAAGCGGCCGACAACCAAAAAGGCGCCGAAAGCCAAAGGGGCGCCGAAAACCAAAGGGGCGTCGAAAACCAAAAGGGCGCCGAAAACCAAACATGCACCGATAACCAAAGCGGCGCCACCAAAAAAGGCGCCGAAAACAAAAGAGGCGTCGAAAACCAAAGGAGCGCCGAAAACCAAAGGGCGCCGGCGAAAACTACAAGGGCGCCGAAAACCAAACGGACGCCGAAAACCAAAAGGAAGCCGAAAGCTACAAGGGCGCCGAAGACCAAAGGGGCGCCAGACACCAAAAGGGCGCCGAGAATGAACAGGTCGCCGAAACTCAAGGACGCACAGAAAAACAAAGGGGCACCGACAACCAAAGGGGCGCCGATAACCAAAAGCGCACCGAAGTCCAAATGGGCGGCGAATACCGAAGGTGCACCGAAAACGAAAAGGGCGCCGAAAACCAAGAGGGCCCCGAAAACCAAAGGTGCACCGAAAACAAAAAGGGCGCCGAACACCAAAGAGGCGCCGAAAACAAAAGTAGCGCCGAAAACCAACAGGGCGTCGAAAACAGAAGAAACGCAGAAAATTACAAGAACGCCGAAAACCAACGATGCGCCGAATACCACAAGGGCACCGGAAACCAAAGGAGCGCCGAATACCAAAGGGGCGCCGAAAACAAAAATAGGCGCCGAAAACTCAAAGTGCGCCGAAAAAATACGGCGCCGAGGCCAAAGGGGCGCCGGAAACCAAAGGGCGGCGAAAACGAACGCAGCGCCGAAAACAAAGGAACGCAGAAAACCAAAAGGACGCAGAAAGCCAAAGGGGCACTACCGACAGCCAACAGAGCGCCGAAAACCAACGGGGGGCCGAAAACCAAAAGGCGCCGAAGGCCAAAGGAGAACCGAAAACACAACGAGCTCCGAAAACACAAGCGCAGAAAGGCTTCCGAAGCCCTCCCTCCTTTGCAACACACCCCTTTCTATCGCACAGAAGGGAGGGGGGGGGGCAGCTCTGGAAGCCGCCCCCCCCTCCCTTGAACGGAAATTCGGGCTTACCCCAGACCCCTAAAAGGAGGGAGGAGGGGGGTAGCTTCCGAACCCCCCCCTCTGGAGGGGGGGGTATAGCTTCGGAAGCTCCCCCCCCTTGGAAAGGGAAGCCCGGCCTTGCCCCGCACCTGGAAAAGGAGAAGGGGTAGAGGGTTTCCGAAGCCCACCCCCTCCCTTTTTCACGGGGGGGGCTCTGTCTCGGAAGCACCCCCCCCCTTGAAAAGGGGAGCGAGCCCGGGCTGCTTACCCCGTGCCAGGAAAGAGGAGGGGGAGGGAGGGGGTAGTTTCCAAGCCCCCCCCCCGTCTTTAGCTAGGGCCCCCCAGGTTTTTCAATGCCGACCCAAGGGGGGGAGGGGAGGGGGAGCTTCGGAAGCCCCCCCCCTCCTTTTCCAAGGGAGGGGGGGAGGGGTAGCTTGAAGCTGGGGCCTTCCTTTTCTTATTCCCGCCCCTGCGTCGGAGATTCTCATGGGGCCCCGAAAAGTGCGAAGGACGTGCCGGAATGGGCCTGCAGACGTCGCGTGTTCGGGTCCGACACCGCGGCGGCGAGAGGCTTCCAGGAGGCTCCGAGAGGACGGGGAACGCCAGGGAGGGCCGCCGCGGTCTCGATTGGCCCTCCTCCGAGGGTGAGCCCCTAACGGGGCTGTCCGATGCAGCCAAGGCCTTGGCATCGCCAGGACGTGTGCAGTTCTTGTCGGCAGGGACCATCGAAGAGCATTGTGGGCCAGCTGGCGAAAAAATACACGCACGAAGCCGAGAAATGCACGGTGAATGGACGTCCGAGCGATGGCGAGAGACGCGGACATCTGTTCGGAAAAGGCCCGTCGTTCCTTAAGTCATTTCGTAGTTGTTCCTCCAGCCCTCTTCGTGCGCCCAGGCACTTCTGGTACCAGAAGGGGGGTTTCGTTCCTTCTCTAGCGTTCCATATCTCAACAGCCCGACTGTACCCCAGCGTCGAGAGGACCCACAGGGGGAGGGCCCGCAAGTGGACGCAGACTTCTGTCTCCCTTAGCCGATATGTTCGAGCCTCGGTGCCCCAGACCTATCGACCATTTTCTTGAGACCCGTTTTTCGTTTTGAATTTTTGGTGTACAGTCCTGGAGCCGAGGTCCAAGAACAGCCTCCGGAGGCCGAAAGTGCCTGAACACCTCGGACTCGACATTTTCGACTCTCTGGAGGTCCGGGAGGCCTCCCCACAGCCGCGGTCCGTTGGCCGCCGCCGTCGCGGCCGCCGCCGTCCTCCTTCCCGTCCTCCTCCTCCTCCTCCTCCTCCTCATCCTCCTCCTCCTCCTCCTGCTGCTCCTCCTTCTCCTCCTCCTCCTCCTCGTCCTCCTCCTCCTCTTTCTCGTCCTCCTTCCCCTCCCTCCCTCCCTCCCTCCCCCGTCCTCCTCCTCCTTCTCCACCTCCTCCTCCTCCTCCTCCGCCCCCTCCTCACCATTCCTTTTCCTTACACATTTTTTCCTGTTGCACCCCGAGGCCAGTTTTTACGGCGGGCCGAGCGTTTCGCCTGAGACTTCCTCACCACGTATGATTCAATGTGGCTCTCGCCTGAGCGCCGCGCACGCTTGTTTTTTATTTGCAAGATTTCACGGATTGACAGCGGGTGATTTTCAACATGCGGTTCTCGCCTTAGCGCCGCGCGCATTCGTTTAGAAAAATTACATGAGTTTCACGGATTGAAGGCGGGCCGTTTTCAACATGTGGTTGTCGCCTTAGCGCCGCGCACATTCGTTCATATGATTTGCAAGAGGTTCACGGATTCGGATTGAGGGCGGCTCTTTTGCAAAATGCGGTTGTCGCTTTAGCGCCGCACACATATTCGTTCATAGAATTGCAAGAGCTTCACGGATTGAGGGCACTTCCTCTTCAAAATATGGCTCTCGCGTTAGCGCCGCGCACATTCGTTCATACAATTTACAAGAGCTCCACGGGCTCCCTTGGTCAACGAACCAGAAATCTTGTTTTGGAAGGGTTCAGGATTATGCGGGTGCAACAATTGTGTTGGTTCGCGGTGTCGACGTCAAAAAGCAATTGCCGTTTTGGCACGATTCAGGATCGTCAAGACGTAGCAGTCAGGTTGATCTGTGGCGTTGAAATCCCGAGCAACGTTTTTGCATGCTTCAGGGTTTTCCAATGGTTGTCTTCAACGAGGCAGTTCCCTCAATGGAAGAGGACCGAGCCGTTGTAGGGGCCTATGATGAGGGAGCTTGGAGGGAGGGTTTATTCCAACATCGTTGATGACTCTTGGGCTTACATTGGTCCTCATCCTCCTCATCCTCCTCGTCATGCAGCAGAAAGAAAGGAAGAGGACAGAGGCGGGCCAGCAAGCAGCAGCATGGGGCGAGGCAGTCCTGACCTGGAGTGGCGTCAACGAGGCACGACACGACCCACAGGCCACTTCCGCCACTGCGTGCCCGAGCCGGCACAGCTGGCGAGAGCAGCTGGGAGGGCAGGGAGGACGGAGGAGAGAGCCAGAAGAAACCGGAAGGCGGAGGAGACGGGCGCGCGGCGGGGAGGTGTGCGCCACCAGACCCCCTTTTCTTGCTGGCCAGCGCCTGCTCTCGAAGGGAGGCATCTCCGCGGCCAAACGCCGGCCCAGCGCCCGCGCCGTCGGCCCCAGCCACCTGGCGGGGCGGTCCTCGCGCGGGCAGGCAGGCCGCGCGGTAGGTCTCGGCGCTGCCCCGCTGCAAAGTCACAGCGGGTCTTTGTTGGGCCGCCGCGAGCGCCTTTGCGTCCCCGCTCGCCCAGGTCCAGAGCAGCGCCTGCGCTTCGAGCCCTGCCCACCCGAGGGTCTCGAGGGCGAAGGCCGTCAGCCTGGGGCTAGGGTACCGCCTGTGTTTGCGCTCCTCCGCGGCCGCTGCAGCTGCTCCGTCGCTGACAGCGCGGCCCCAGCCCGCCGCGGTGCGGGCGCCCAGCGCCGCGTTCGTGACCACGACGTCGGCGTAAGCCGGGCCAGCGGTCGGGTCGGTGAAAACCACGTCGAGCCGCGCGGCCGCGGCGGTGCCGGCAGGCCCGGCCCTGTCCAGAGCGGGGGCGCCCTGCTCGGTCGCCACCCCCGTGGCCCCTTGGGCGCGCAGCCAGCCCGCGAGCCAGTCTCGCTCGCCGTTGTGGCCTGCGATGGCCCCGCCGCCCACATGGCAGTCGACCACGTGGCCCGGGTTGGCTACCAAGTCCGCTCTGCACTTCGCGCCGCTGGGCCGACAGCGGAGGCAGACGGCGCTGGCGGCGTCTGGTAGAGGCAGCCGCAAGCAGAGGGCGAGCGCTGGCCGGGAGTGCGCGTCGGCGAGGCAGTGGTCTTCTTGCGTCGGTAGCAGTAGCCACCTGCCGGCGCCTTTCCCGCCGGCCGAGCGCAGCAGCGCGGCCTGGTCTGGCGGCAGGGTGTCAGCAGCCGCTGCCTGCGAGCCTGTTGCTCCGCTGCCGAGAGCCGAGAGGGTGCGCTGCGCCTTCCGCACGGGCTCCGCCGCGGCCGCGAGCCAAAGGAGAGCGCCCTGTTCCTCCTCCTCCTCCTCCTCCTCCTTCTCCTCCTCCTGCCCCTCCTCCTCCTCCTCCTCCTCCTCCTCCTTCTCCTCCTCCTCCTCCTCCTCCTCCTCCTCCTCCTTCCCCTCCGCATCATCATCCTCCGCATCATCATCCTCGTCCTCCGCATCATCTTCCTCATCATCCTCATCCTTGTCATATTATTCATCATTCTTCCTCTTGGCCCGAGGAGGATTTCGACGCGCTCGAGGAGTCTGGCAGCCTGGCTGTGAGCTACCAGCCGTACGACGCGGATGGCGAGCGGTTCAGCGTCGGCCTGCCCGCCATCGGGGTGCCCGAAGGGGGGCGCCTGGCCAAGGGGCGGGGGACCTGGGTACCTTCCGTGGGGTGGTTTCCGAGCGAGGGCGCCTGAAGGGGGCAGGAGGGGTCAGTTTCTTGTTGCCGGAAGTTACGGTCGAGACCTTTTGGATAGCATGTCGTTCCGCGGGTCCTTGCCCACCACGCTCCACTTCCTGGTCCTTCAGCGTGGGCGTCCCAAGCTTTTCCGAGCCTCCCGCCCCGCGGAGCGGAGCAACACGCTATCCGCTTGCAAGGGCAGGGGATAACGTGTCGCCGGGGCCGCCGCGGCGACACGCTAAGCAAAAGTTCCAAGTTCCACACCGTAAAGGGGGGAGGTGAGCGGGCTTCGACCGGGGGAGGTCCAAAGGGCGGGGGGGTAGCTCTGGTGGGGCGACAACACAGGGCGAGAGGGGGGGGGACTTCGACTAGAGGAGGTCCAAAGAGGGGAGGGGAGGGAGGGCTTCCGCGGGCCGGAGAAGAAAGGAGGGGAGGGGGGAGCTTCGGGCGGGGGGAGCCACAATGGGGGGGTGCTTCCGTGGGGGGAACATGGGCTGGGGGGCTTCGGAACGAGGGCGCCTCGAGGTGGGATGGGTAGCTAAGGGGTACCGCGTTTGCCCAGTCCCCATTGGCGCGCTCTCTCATAAAGGATCCCCCCCGCGGTGCACCGACGGGGCGAATCTGACCCCCGTCGCGCCACGCACGGGGCCCAGGGAATCAGACGCACGGTCCTACGGCCCGATACCAAGTGAAAATTCCCAGCCTTAGCTGCCTCGATACGCCTGTTTTGAACCGCAACACGTACCGTGTTCAAGACTTCCTCGTCTATACGTCGTTTGTTGGTTCAGAGTATTGACTTACGTTTAGGCGAACGTATCGCGCCAGACTTACGTGTTCAGTCTACGTGCATAGTTTCGTATCAATACGCTACTTGTTGCGTATTTGCTCGCATCGGGGCAGCTAAGCGACCAGCGCCCGAATCGCAGGGCAAGTATCGAATCGGATCCAAATGGACCCTGGGGTGCCTGGCGCCCTTCTCTATCGGGCAGCGCCCCGGCCATGGCGGTCGTCGGCGCCGCGCTGGAGGCGGAAGCATGCGTCCTCGACGTGGACCCGCCCACCGCCCGGACGCTGCTGGGCTACGACTGGAGCAGGCGCAGAGTCGAGGGCCCCAGATATCCGACTATAGACTTCGAGGTTCCAGGATCGAAATTCGAGGGTAGAGTTTTTGTCTGCGTGTTTGGGGTTTCCAAGAAGCTTCTCTTGGACGCGGCTGGATCCGCCTCGACATTCTGATAAGAGCGCCCCCAGGAGAGGTCTGGGGATCGGTTTGCGACCCCCGACTGTGTCGGATGTTGTGGGTAGATATGTGCGTCTCCTCTTCCATATCCTCCTCTTCTTCCTCCTGAATTTCATCTTCCTCCTCCTCCACCTCAATTCCTGTTCCTTGTAGATAATTCCTCCTTGTCGCACCCCGAGACCGGTCGAAAGGGCGGGCCGGGCGCTTCGCCTGAGATTTCCCCGCCATTTATGACCTTGAAGCTTAAACATTGGCAACAGTTTCAAAGATGGAGGGCTGGTGGTTTTCAACATGTGGCTCTCGCTTCAGCGCCGCGCACATTCGTTTTAAAATTTCGCAAGAGATTTACGGATTGAGGGCGGGTGGGTTTAAAAATGGGGTTCTTGCCTAAGCGCCGCGCGCACTCGACTCCAATATAACCACTCGACCCCCCCCCTTCAGTGTTTAGAGTTGATTATCGTCGCCCTATACAAAATTCAAATTGGGCGGCGAGCGCTGAGGCCGAACTTCATTATCACCTCGAAACGCTATGTTGAGATAGCAACATCAAGCGATGTTGATATAGCAACATCAAGCGAAGCGATCACACTTTTTCAGGATGTGTCAAGCGAAACCAATAATTTTGGGAGGCAGACTCAAACGAAACGAGCAATGTTCTTATTATTATTCAACTTTCCTCTTCTTCTTTTATATTTCTATCTGTCCTCACGCTCGCCTGAACTTTTTTATCCCTGTGGTTGATTATCCATGGAAAATGAAGCACATGAGCTACCCTACACGAGCACTTAAAACATCAATTTTCATAAAGCGCTTGTAAATTAAAATTGATAGATTTGTAACTTTGGATTTGTCCTTTCTTCGTCCTCTTCTTATTATCCTCTTCTTCTTCTTTCTTATTATTCTTCTACTGTATTCTTCTTCTTTTATATTTCTCTCTGTCCCCACGCTCGCCTGAACTGTTTTATCTCTGGGGTTGATTATCCATGGAAATTGAGGCACGTGAGCTACCCTACACGAGCACTTACAAAAAACAATTTTCATGAGAGATAAGCCATTGTTGAGGATACTTCTATGAAAACTCAACGCCAAGGATGTCTCAAAACGTGCTCGGCTTGGTCTCCTATTGATCATCTCTTACTTCGAGATTATGCTGAGGTCTGCTGGGCTATTTTTATTATCTCTCCCTGAACCCCGAACTTGATTATCCCCTAGTGTTTATTCTCACGGGCATGAGGTTATGCAAGAGCATCACGGATGGAGGGCGGGCCGTTTTCAAAATGTGGTTTCTTGCGTTAGCGCCGCGCGCATTCGTTCTATACATATGCAAGACTTTCACGGATTGAAGGCGGGTGGTTGTCAAAATGTGGTTCTCATTGTAGCGCCGCACACATCTGTTCTAAACACTTACAAGAGTTGTTCAAGGATTGAGGGTGGGCCGTTTTTTTTAATGGCTATCGCTGTTGCGCCGCGCACATTCTTTTTAAGAGTTCGCAAGGGCTTCACAGATTGAGGGCGGCTCGTTTTCAAGATGCGGTTCTCGCCCAAGCGCCGCGGACATTCGTTTTGAACATCTGCAAGAGGTCCACGGTTTCCCATAGTCAACGTACCAGAAGTGGTGTTGTGGAAGGACTTCGGATTGTGAGGATACAACAGTTGCGTGGAGTTGCGATGTTGCAGTCCCAGGAACGGTTCTTTTGGCACGATTCAGGATCGCCAAGACGCAACACTCAGGTTGGTCCGTGGGGTTGGAGTCCCGAGAACGGTGTTTTGGCACGCTTTAGGGTCTTCAAACGGTTGTCTCCCAACCAGGCAGTTCCCTCAGTGGAAATGAACCCTTGTAGGGTCTTGTGAAGAGGGAGGTTGGCTTGGAGGCAGGCGTTATTCCGACATCGTTGATGAGTCTTGGGTTTACACTGGTCTTCCTCCTCCTCCTCCTTCTCTGTTCTTTCCTTAGGAGTACCTATTCCCTGTCGCACCCCGAGGCCGGTCGAAACGGCGGGCCGGGCGTTTCGCCTGAGGCTTCCGCACCATCAATGGCCCTGAAGCTTAAACATTAACAACAGCTCCACAAATCGAGGGCGGGTGGTTTTTCAATGTGGCTCTCGCCTCAGCGCCGCGCACATTCGTTTTAAACCTATGCAAGAGATTCACGGATTGAGGGCGGGTGGTTTGCAACATGTGGTTCTCGCCGTAGCACCGCGCACGTTCGTTTTAAAGATTTACAAGAGTTTGCAGGATTCTCATTGTCAACGTGCCAGAAATGGCGCTTTGGAAGGATTGTGGATCTGGATTGCGAGGGCGCAACAGTTGCAGTGCTTCGCGGTGTTGAAGTCCCAGGAACGGTTCTTTTGGCACGATTCAGGGTCGTCTAGACGACCCAGTCATGTTGATCCGTGGCGTTGGAGTCCTGAGAACGGTGTTTTGGCACGCTTTGGGGTCTGTAAACGGTTGTCTCCCAACCAGGCAGTTCCCTCAGTGGAAATGAACCCTTGTAGGGTCTTGTGAAGAGGGAGGTTGGCTT